GGGGCGGTCATGAAGCACAATCTCAGTAAGTCAATTATGGACCAGCGACGCTGTCAGTTTTAGTGGCAGCAAACACAAGAGTAACATATCATTAACAACATGTAGCCTTGCCTTACATTTTTACTGATGGACACATGAACGACTGGACATTTAACAGCGCACATTTCGCATTCACGCTCTGTTGACCAAATTCACAGTAAACCTTTTTTTCTATTGGCTACAAGCTGCAAGAGTTGGTCGTTAACAACTTACTTCCAAACTCACAGAGATTGAGCATGTGTATCGTGTTGCACCTGGCTGGCACAGATGGGGACCAGGGACATCCATTGGCCCTTGAAAGACAAAGGGAGTCCTCACCCAAATGCATTTATTTAGTTTAGAAGTGAAATAGCCTACTGTTCTTACGTCCCCACTTATATATCAGACCTAGGGTCCTTGAGATAAAACGATAAAATGCTGGGATCCCGAAAAAGGGGCAAGTTCAACGCTATTGATCGCCTCTTGGGAACAGGTATTGCTGCCAGTTTCTGTATTTAACCGGGACCCGGAAGACGGGGCTGCTGGCTGACGTGCCATTACGTTGCTGTTGCTCATACGGCCGCTGAAGTTTTTTGCTCATATTCAGAAAGGCTTGGATACAGCAAGAGAGGAGGGAGGGACTGAGCGCAGACACACACACACACACAGACACACACACACCACTCTCTGCCGGGTGATGAGACAGCGAGCAGCGGCTGCAGGCCACCGGTTGTTCCATGTTGTCTCGACAGCGTTTTTAAAAAAGCAGGGCTCGCCAGGACAACCTTTCCTCGTCGGTCGTTTATTTTGCGCATGTTGTGTTGGAGTGAATCGGATAGACCCACTTTCTCTGGTTTGACTCTGAAAGCGCAGCCACTCTGCTCCCATAAGACTGAATCGGTAAGTAAATTGCAAATATATATTTTTTTATCTGAGATTTTTATTTCTTCTTTTGGGAAATGTTATTTCCATTTATATATTAAAATAGGCAAATACGTACGCAAATATATGGCTATAGAGGCTCGAAAAATTGGGAGAAATAAAATTTTTTTTAAAAAACATCTCGTCGATCATTATTAACATTATTGTAGCAAAAAACAACATCTTATTTTCTGCAGCATTGCTTGAGCTGTAGCTTTCATGACTGTTTAGGGGTGATTATACTTTCACGCTTTGTGCAAAGGCCCTAATTCCAGTTTATATTTACCTTCACATTCAGCCTTAGTTTGTCACGGCTTTTATCCGGTAAACCTCCATAACGTCGGAAAAGAAAGCAGCACAATATGGGATTAAACGTGTAAAGAATATAGACGTATGTATTACTACTCTTGTTATATTCACTGGCAACTAGTCTGATTTCTTCATATCTGTTTAGACAAGTAGCTCTATTATTTGTCTAAATGAGCGGACGATAAAAAAGAAAAGCATTGAGCCCAAACTGATAATTAATACACCTATACCAATAATAATATTCCACCTAGCAGGTCGCGTAAATACTATCAATAATTCATTCTATTGTCGCCCACTTTATGTTGCCGTGGGCAAGGTGTTCTATTCCTGCAGGCAAAATAAAAATAAACTCGATCACGAAATGGATTAGTGTATCATCAGCATGATGTTAGTGACCACAAAGGTATTCAATTGTCACGCTTTAAAATGCGTAATGACTGGAGCACTCATCGCTCATCAGCAGAGAGAGCAATCACATCCCTACAATGGTGGAGCAGAGACAGGGGCGGGCTGGGGTCTCCACAGGCATGCAGGAGCTGCACAATACATGGCACCTTTTACACCAACCAACCTCTCTCTCTCTCTCTCCCCCCCTCTCTCCCTCTTACCTGTGCTGTTGTGTGCATGATGCTTAATGGGCTTTTTGTGCATGAAAAAGAAAAGTAACTGCCTGAAGCTCTGTTATTGAGAACAGACTGTGTAGATTTGTAAGAAAGAAAGCTCTTGTTATTTTTGAATGAATGAGTGACTGAATGCATGATCATGATTTTAACACTGGTGTTGAGGAGCTGCATCTCTGACACTTTTTTTTTATCAAACAGTTTCTACAAAACATCCCAGCAATGAGCTGTGGAGAACTTTTCCCAGAAAGAATTAAAGCTCCAACAAGGGATGTTATTGACAAACCTAAGAATCATCTTCTGCTCCATAATCCCTTTTGTTACGCGAGCAGTCCGTGTGTCGTGTCCTGCCCTATTCTGAAATGTTATTATTCTCTGCTCAAACTGCTTAAATGGGAGTGAGTGTTGCTCTCTTAGCAGCGTCCAGGCCCCTCTCCCAGCAGTTATATGGCCCTGTGTCCTGGTGCTTGTGTCCATAAAGCCCCCTAGTGCCCCGGCTCGATCTAATTAGCCGTGAGTAAAGGGGACAATAATGCTTCAGCTGGTTTGTGTCATTCTCTTCTCCCTGGCTCTGCTTATCTTCACAAGCACCACTGTGGCTCTTCACACTCCTCCCCCCCCCCCCACACCAAACATACACACACAGTCACACACACCTCCGCTCTGGATAATGATGGATGACCGTGCCCAATGGGAACAAACAGGTAGATAAAGCCAATCCCATTTAATAACAGCATGGATCGGAATGATAATCTTGTTCATTAGCCGAAGTGGCTGCACAGCGACACAGTTGTTGCACAGAGTTCTCACCCAGGAGGTGTTGTGGGAGGGATAGTGTTCTCCGGTCTAGGATAGCATCCCTGGGTGAAACAATACTGCTGTGTCCTTGAGAAAGACAGAGGGAAAGCAACAGAACCCCCCCCTCACTAACCCTTCGTCACCCTCTCCCATCTTTTGTTCCAGCACAGATACAAATGGGATTAATGAAGGTATAAATTACAGAGGGCTAAATCCTGCTGAGTAATCCATTTGGCAAACATGAAAACAACAATGGGCATGCTGCAGCAGCTAGAGCCTTATAGCCGGACCAAGAACCCAGAAGCACAGGCTGACCACTGCAGGCTATACAGTGACATGTTACAGTGCTCAGTGGGGAAAAAAATAAAAAGAGCTTTCGCTATACTATAGCCTCAAGAACAAGAGCATCGCTGGTCGTCCATTCATGCTTGAACAGAGGGAGTCGTTGCTTCGGGGTTCAAGCAGTGTGACAGCAATTTTTCGATAGCAGCATAAAATAGCTTCTCTATTAGACACACACATTGTGTATATTTGATGATTTATCTTGTGTGTATTATAGTACAATATCTATAAGCCGACTATGAATAACCATACAAAAGGTAAGTTCTCACTCCACCTGCCCACTTTTCACTGGAATGTCAGTTATTCAGGTAGCAGGCCCTCTGCTGCCCAACATGCACTAATTTGTTGATTTTAGGAGTTGACAAGCTCAAAGGGCTGAGCTCCTCAACTCACTGCCCCTGGCAACATGCCACTGATTTAACGACTGACGACTGACGACTGACACACACACACACACACACACACACACACACACACACACACACACAGCAGGTATAACAGCAGATCAGAGCATGATTGTAACCCTAATGACCTGCATCGTGGATACCGTGTCATCGGGGTTATGAGGGGTCTTTTACTCGGAGAATTTGTCCAGGTATCACAAGCTTCACGTGACTCCCCCCCCCCTGCAAACTCTGTGACGTCAGGGCCAGGCGTCAGCGTGGCGGCCAGTCTAGGCTCCGAGAACCCTCCAATTATTTCCTGTCAATCACAAACAGACACACACACACACACACACACAATGCAAGTAGGCCTATATATTTATGGGCACAGGCATGGATCTATGCGCACGGACTAATCATTTTAGCGCGCACCGCTAATTCTAAAATTAGAATGGAATAGAATAATACTTTTTGTTCGTAGTTTTATTTGCCCTATACGCTCTTCAACATCATTTTCTCATCTAATCCACTGGCAGAAACTTGCTTGTGTATCCTTAAAGGCAGCTTAAAGGCAGCAAATAATAATAATAATAATAATAATGACGATACTGAAAATGAATGAGTTAACACGCCTTTGTTTGGGGGTTTGGTTTCTGTTTCGATTTGTATTGTCGAGTTCTGAATGACGGCGTTAAGACATGTTGATGGCGACCAACTGGTTTTCGTAGGTAAGGCCTTGCGCCCATCCCTGGTGCCACCAAGAGAAAAGAGGCTCCATTCTTATGCAAACTGCATCGTTTGATTGCTCTGTCCTCGAGACAAAAAACACTGTTTTCACAAGAGGAATGCCCTGCTACTAATTAAAGACAATTAGGCGCTCCCAACAATGGGGCCAATTTCGGGGTCATAAATCGACTGTGTTGGTTTTAGAGGTGCTGAAAACTCTGCTTATTTACATAACAGCAGTATGGAAAAATCAACTCATACAATGTCGGTGATGCGAGGCTCAATCAGCAACATTTTGCAAGTGGGTGTGAAAAGTTAACGTCACTCAAAAGTCTTCAAATATATTCAGATATTAATATATTTTATGAAAGCGATTTACATCAGATTACGCTTTCTGTACCATTATAATAGGCCTTGTAAGCCATATATTGTGCAGACTGAATTTCCCCTCATGTTAGATGTCTGTCTTTAGGCTTATAACTGCCGCTAAAAAAAGCAGATTATCGGGGACCGATTGCTCATTCAGTGTGAGCTTCATGAGAGAGAAAGACCCCCGAGAAATTACACTGCTGATTGATAAGTCTTTTAGTTTTGTCGGTGCAGGGACATGGAAATTGGAAGGAGAGCAGAGCAAGGATGCAGCGAGCCAATTGTGGCAGGGCTGGTTGTGATTGGCTCAGACCGAGGCCCCGCCCCATGTGGCTTGATATGGGAATTTACTGGCGCCAGCCGCATCAGTCTGCGCCACATCTCATTAATGAGCCCGAGCGCTGCATGGATCAAGAGGTTTACACAAGCTGTATTCGCAGTCAGCTGATCGGAATTGCAACAGGTATCCAAAGGAAACATTTGTGGTTTTTTTTTACTTTGTGCAGGGACGGGATGCATGGCTTCGACATTGAGACAGTTGACGTTCTTTTCAACCTTTAATCATTAGGAACCTAAAATGTGCAACGTTTATTTCACGTGCTATGATTCGATAAGCAACATGTATTTATAAAGGCCGCCTCTTCTTTGCGTGGAAGGAGAGGTGGAGCGGCCACGGTGTTCATTGGCTAAATTAACATTTTGTTTTCGTCTCGTTGCAGGTTAAACGGAGGAGAAAGGAGACCGGGTTATTTAAGGATTCTTTTTCTGAAGTAAATAAACACACAGCCGAGACTTTCACAGCTAAGGAACTATATTGTGAGGAGGATTTAACTTCCACTTGGAGGTAAACATAGCCTAAAAGTAGCCCGACGCACAGCGAGACGCCTTCAGAGGAGAGGACCATGGAGGTCGCAGCGGCCGATCAGTCTCGGTGGATGGCGCATCATCACGCAGTGCTGAACGGCCAGCACCCGGACTCTCACCACCACAGTCTGAGCCACAACTACATGGAGCCCATGGCGCCTTTACTGCCCCAGGACGAAGTTGACATGTTTCTGAACCACTTGGACTCTCAAGGGAACCCCTACTACACCAACTCCCGGGCAAGGGTCACGTACAGCCAAGCACACGGTAAGATGCGCACACGTTTAAAGTGACCCCTTTAAGCTGACGAGTGTGATGAGAAATTAGGATCGCGTTTGAAAAATGTACATTGTATTAATGCCTTATTTAAGTTTTTGTATAATCCATCAAAGACTAAATAGAGTTTTATACGTTATGCCCATATGTGTGTGGCTCTGGAATAAGTCTATTAATTTAGTACGGAAACTTTAATTTGAACAATGCATGCAATGTGCAGTAATTTGCTTTAGAAAAAATCCATCTGACTTCACGGGACAATTCACCAACATAAAAGGAATTTCTAGCAAATGACAGCCAGAGGAAAGGGAAGTATGTCATTTAACCCCTCTCTGTTGGGGCAGGGGTTTCTGGAGGAGAGAGAGAGAGGCACTTCCTGGATATAAAATAAAAACCGCAAATTTACTAATAACAATCTTTAGTCCGGGAGCTGCAGGCGATGATAAGATACAGTCCTGGCGAGAAGCTACTTTTATGTGTTTTCTGGTGTAAATAGGTATTTATCGACTCAATTTAAGAGACGACGTGCGAGGCAACTGGAAACCTTTTTTAATTGTGAGAAAAAAAAATCTAATTTCAAATTAACGAAAATATTTTTTATCTTCATCTGGATCTAAATGTCGGACTCTATTAATTCTGTGTATTTAGCAGGTAAGATAAAGGTATTTCTGTTTTGCAAACTATAGTGACAAGAGTGTGTCAAAGAAGCGTGTAAAAAAAATCGTATATTAAATACTATATTCGGATTTCAGCTCGCCTCACTGGGAACCAGGTTTGTCGACCACACCTTATCCACAGCCCCGGTATTCCCTGGCTAGACCCCGGGAAAGCTGCCCTTTCCGCGGCCCACCACCACAACGCATGGGCGGTCAGCCACTTCAGCAAACCCGGCCTGCACCCCGCCAGCTCCGGCTACCCCTGCAGCAGCAGCACCGGCACAGCACCGGTCTCGTCGCTCACGGTGTCCCACTCCAACGCGCACCTCTACAGCTTCCCCCCTACCCCTCCGAAAGACGTGTCCCCGGACCCCGGCCCTACCTCTCCGACCTCCAGCTCGACCAGAATGGACGAGAAAGAGTCGATCAAGTACCAAGTGCAACTGACGGACGGCATGAAGATGGAGAGCTGTAGTCCGCTCCGCAGCGGCCTGGCCTCGATGAACGGCCAGGGCCTTGCCACGCACCACCCGATCCCGACCTACTCTGCCTACCCTCTGCATACGCCCCACGAGTACAGCGGCAGTCTCTTCCACCCTGGCAGCCTGCTCGGCGGGTCCTCCTCCAGCTTTACGCCCAAATGCAAGAGCAAGACTCGGTCGAGCTCAGGTGAGTCTCACGTGCGTTTCTCCCTCGCGTCAGATGGCAGATCGAACTGATAAGGTCTAATTAAATGGTTATGGTGGATTCAGCCGAGCAGTGAAGCATTACACACTATAGTTTACCCGATCAATCATCAGCAGATACGCGTTCGTCACCATGTAATAGGAATTCTGCTACTGTTGTACATTTCGTTTATATATACGTATATGGGCCCCTTCATATTTTGTAATGTACGCGAGTGTTTAAAAAAAAACAACTATTCATTTCATAATTATTATTGTTAATGTTGATTCCACTTTAGACACCACTTGTTGCTCCAGTGGGTCACTGACACAAAGAGAGAGCATTTCCATATCGGACCCGTCTGTCCGCTTTAGAACCCGTCCCAAGTCTTATCTTTTGTCCCATCGCACGCCTCGCCACTTATAAAGCCGCATCCACGTAACAGGCGTCTCCTTAGCGGGGAATCAACCTCAAATGAAACTCAGACTAATCGGGGTCAACTATTTACCAGGCTACATGTACAGCTATATAGGGTCCTTATGCGCATGATTAAATGTTTCTGTGAGCAACTTCAACGAAAGGAAAGTGGGATTACAGCTAATTAAATTAACCAATTATTCATATATATATGTCTGACGTATAAAATAAAATGGAATGATTGTAGTTTCACCAGAGATTACACAATAACACTTTTTTTTTTTATATCGTTCACGAAGACTTTACATCGATTTAATTAGTTTTACGTTCATGTTCAGCACTCGAATTGGCTTCTTCTTCGTGTCATAGACTTGTTTTCTTTTAAATGTGGCCTTTATTGCACTTAAAAAACGGAGGAGTCACGACGCCCTGGCTCCTGCCATATCCTGTATACCTCCAAGTGAACAAATCACGACCTCCACCCCCGCCCACAGCTCTCATAGTCCTAACAAAGCACAGGCGACAGAGCCCTGCTGTTTGTGTTTTTAAGCATGGCCTTGGCCCAGAGCACCGACATGAAGTGGAGGCAACCAAGTCCACAGTAGACTTGCTTCTATGAGTAGATGAAAGTGTATCTAAACAACACTTATATGCATAACTTCACAATTTGGAGAATATAGTGCATTGAGTATGCTGATTAAAATGTTTAAAAAAAAAATATATATATATATATATATATATATATATAATAATGCACCTGGTTCAATAGACTGCATGTGTTATTAATAGTAATATTAGATTGATAGAGTAATATTTAAGGGAATATTTAGACATTAGACATTAATGTGCAGACATTTGAAAAACAAACTCAGTCTGGTAATGACTCTGTAATTTTCCTACATTGTTCCAGCTGTTGTACTTTGAAATAATGGGCCGAAAAAATAACAACAGAGAAACATCACAGATTGTTTTAGGCCAACACGTCACTCCAAATGTAGCTGTGTAATAATCGATATTGTCATCTATTGCTTTTTAATACACCTGGGCGATGCTCGCCGGCTGATAATCTGAGTGAATGTGAGCTGTTGTAGCAGAAACGTAACACTGTGACATTTAAAAGAAGCTGGCCAGACTGCGCCTGAATCAGCAACACAAACATTTCAGCTACGGCATTAAAAAGGCTCTTATCTATCAAAGTCGATGTCCATGTGCCAGTAATGGTGATTGATTGTTGTGCAAAATGCCACAATGACATTTCAGTATGTGTGACTCTCTCTACACTACCTTTTCACACAGAGCTTCCCTTTTTTGCTTCTTATTTCAACACTAAACCTTGCATAACACATAAATACATAAGTCATTGCTGATGCATATTTGAAGTGTTAATGAACCCGCTTTAATGTGGTTGCCTAACCTGCGAAACGCTTTAAGAGGAAGAGAAGGGAGGTACAAAAAAAAAAAAAAAGCAGCAAGGTGCATTTCAAAAGGAACATAGCTTTTTGCTCAGGTCAGATTCCATTGTAGAGCGAGGGTGGGACTGTGGGTGTCGCTGGCATTATAACAGGAATAATGAGATGATGCTCTAGGGAGAGAGGGATACTTGAATTAAAGGAATCGGTCGGTTTAGCAACAGGCTGTTTGAAGTCAGTCAAACCTGAAAGGGAGAGGAGAGCACGTGGGAATAACTAAAAAAGCAGCTTTTTTTTATATAGAAAAACACAAGTATGCACAGGAGATCTAGTTCACATCCAGCCACTTTTTAAGAATAATAGAAACTTCATCAAAACGTTGGACTGAAAACAATTTCCATATTATCAATTGCAGCCAACATGGCCTGCAAGCTTTTCATCAAAGTTTGCAACACTGTCCGCCACATCTAGTACCATCACCACACACGTATGTTTCCTCTCATGGGTGCCCACTGAGCTCATGAATAATGTAGTTCTAATTTGATGGCGTTTCTCATTCTTCGTGTCGGACACCTCTGGACATGTTCTGGCCTCCCCACTCTGGATCGGTTTACATAGAGGTGTCTGTGTCCATGACAGCCGCGCACACTTGGTACACCTGCACTCCGATATGGACAATGTCGCCATCATGAGACAGATTTTGACTTCATATTACAGGGCCATCTAGGGTCCCACGTCACCGTATTGTTGCCTGATCGGGTCTGGACAGCTGCTATGTGTTGCTTCTAATGGACAGTGAATTTTTTAATTATATAAAATTTCTTCTTTTCTCCTCCTGAACTATATCCAGAGGGCCGTGAATGTGTAAACTGCGGTGCCACCTCCACCCCTCTGTGGCGAAGAGACGGCACCGGCCACTACCTGTGCAACGCCTGCGGACTGTACCACAAGATGAACGGCCAGAACCGACCACTCATCAAGCCCAAACGTAGACTGGTGAGTCCTATACTCCCCACGCCATCGCTTCACTCTGAGAGAGGGCACCCAAATATGAGGACAAAGCCGATGCCGGCAGCACAATTCCAGGAAAGTTATATTTTCCCTATGATCTTCCTGGAATTGTTTGTCCCTCTCGCCCCCCGATGATCCGCCTTCATGACCTGTTACAATACTGCTACTATTGCATTGTTCCTGCTATCATTATTGCTGGTACTTCTGATACTGTTACTGATACCATTGCCCATGCTGCTTTAGTTAACACCAAGCTTGAGTAAATGAAAAGCAGCATGGACACATAACATTCTTGTAGTGGATGTACCACTGCACAGCCACTTCTGGCATTAACCCTACTGAAGCTGGACACATTTCTCTGCACCATAGTCAATTCATTTCGTGGCTTTCAATTCTCAATTTATAAACCCATGTGTTTTAATTATCTTTTAAAACATTTACTCTCAAACAAGAGTGCACCAGGCTAAATATTTTTAATATCTTTAGGCTGTATTCTTATTTTCAAGGATTGATATTTTACAGTAACTCCTGAATCCTTTATTGTTCAGCAGAATTTTATTTTCTTTGATACTTAAGTGGTAGGTGCTTATTCAGTTGGTGTCTAAAAATTACAATAACAATATGTTTTTTACATTTTTAAACTGGCTCGTAGAAAAAAAGATACACATGCCACAAGTATAGGTAAATAATATATAAATGATCTGCAACATAGTCACAAATAATACTAAATCCCACTAATAATAATAATAATAATAATAATAATGGCTAAATTAGTACAAATTAATTACTGGCTCTAAAATGGATATTTAAATAATACAAAAGTTCACTGCTGGAACAACCTATAAACTTTCATAAAAAGTGGTCTGGGCTAAGATTGCGTCTACGATAACGATCAGCAGATCATTTGACTCGCCAATAAATTGTCGACTTTTAAAACCTTATTATTATATATTTCTTCGTGTTGCCCCCTTGGCCAGCTCCACGTCGTTCCTGCTCGTGTAAAAAAGCCCATTACATTTTCCACTGGCTCAGCCCATATGGCTGTGGCTTTTGCATTTTCAGCTCAAGTGTTTTTCAGAGTTTGTGTTCAAAGGGGCATCCAGTTGTTTCCTATCCGGATATCTGTCCGGCCCAGATAAGGAAGTCAGGCTCCCGGCTGTTTCCGCCCTCAACCAGCGCGCTGCATTCTCTGTGGCCAGACTGACATATACTGTAAAGAGATTATCACAACACTGGAGGAGCCGCTTATGTGCGAAGAGACAGACCGTGAGGGGCGGGGATTGGAAAATAAATGGATTTATGTTCTTCCCTTGTTGATCATTCTCGATGCGCATGTGGAACGTTCTTAAAAGCGCAGCGGCTTTTTTTATTTTATTTAAAAAGATATAGGTTACATATTTGATTTCGCCTAAGAAAGACCAGGGGTTGTTGTTGCTGCTTTCCAGGCCAATAGCAACGAGTCCACCTGAAATTAATTAACAGGAAAAACCTGGATGCTGCCTGCAAAGCGAAGAGCCGGAGGCTGCTTGCATGTAAAGCTAATGTTGCTTAATATGTGTGAAGAATTGATCCGCAATGGACGCAGGAGCGCATTGCCAGGCAGGGCACCGGGTCTTATGCGACTTGTAGCCCAGTTTCCCTGGATCAGGATAGAGGGTTTACACAAGGCCTTCATTTGAACCTGTTAATACACAGCATATTTATTTGTAATTTATTAAAAAATGATAATCAGCGGCAGGCGTGTACAGAATCAGGCATTCTGTCGGCCAACAAAAAAAATGTCCCCATGACTTATAGCGCAAATTAGAAAACGTGATCATGGTGTAGCGGTCTGCATACATGCAATTGATTCAACGGGAATTATGTGTTGTTTCGGTCTGCGTGTCGCGTCTTCCGATGCTATTCTACACATGGTTCTGCGGTCTCACGCAAACCCACAGTTTGATTTAAGAAAAACACAACTTTCCGTCTCTTATTGATTTTGTGCTGAGGCAGAAAACACTAAATTCACTGCATGCGATGTCAGTGCAGTGGCTTTAATAACAATACATGTTAAATGATTCAACTTGTATGGGTGTCTAAAGAGCCGTGACATTTGGGCACCTACGTGTTGTTTGTGCTGCTCGGTGTCCGCGCTGACCTCCACGTGTGAATGGGTCAGTATTCATGATGTATATTTTTCTCTCCGCTTCCTTCAGTCCGCCGCTAGACGTGCAGGCACCTGCTGTGCAAACTGCCAGACCACCATCACCACCCTGTGGAGGCGCAACGGGAACGGAGACCCGGTGTGTAACGCCTGCGGCCTTTACTATAAACTGCACAATGTAAGTAGCCTTTAGAAAAAAAAAAAAAAAAAAATTTGACCCAAGGGCAGGGGTTTGGGGGGGGGGGGGGGGGGGGGGGGGGGGGGGGGGGGGGGG